GTCAATGCTCGAAATCTGAATGGTTTTGTGCAGAGTTATAGGGAGCTTTTCGCGTCACGTTTCATGTGGACCATCCTGTGTTATATTGTAGTTTCGTAGATTCCTACTAGGCTTTGTTCGCCTACGCAGCATTGCTGCGGGATCATCTGTTGTACGCTGCAAAAATGGTCTGTATGCGATCTCCAACACTTTAAAACCAACTCTTCTCTGACTCTTCAAAGTTTTAGGGTAAAAAGATTTGATAACAAGCACAAAGTTATTCCTGTCAGCACCTCTAAAAACTCCAACAAAAAGGTTATCATTTTTTAGGGGCATCCAGAGTGTACATAGACTGTACTATCTGTCTAGTATCTCCTGTTTTCATCTGACTTTCCGACAATGCTTCGCATGCGCATATCCGTAAGCGCTTGAAGTTACGAGAGCGTAATTTCAAGCCAACGTTTCGGCCTGATCTTTGTTGGGAATCACTGTATTTGGCTCCTAATTGCTGCTTATAGTGGGGCGCGACATCTACAAACGCTACTTTGGCTTAGTCGAGCTCAAACAAAGGAGGAGTCTACGCTAAAAGGCGAGGCCGACCATGAGGTCTATAAAAAACTGGTATAGGAATTGTATCTTTCAAGGCGGCATGTGAGGATCGTGTTCGAGCTGAAGGTAGCTGTGTTGCCTTTCAAAGCTACCAATTTTCAGTCTACAATTTAAGTTTGCAAACGGTCCACTAGCCTTTCCTGCCTTTCTATCTTCTGTACAGACAGAACTTGAAGGCAGTATAATCGTGACCGCTTCTATTAAATAGAGTTTTACAAATAGTAGGCGGACATGAGGAATGCGAGTATACAGCGTATCATCGTTTCTTCCCTCTACCAAAACATTTTCTTGTTCTTTGTCCTGGGATCTTAAGTCTTAAGCCCCGTTCAAAATTTTGCTGTGAAATTTCCAAGCGAAATGCTTAGCAAGTAGTAATTTCGAAAGCTAGTGAGCCAGACTGCTCAAAATGTTTTTAAACTCGACTGATTTCCTTTCTTGCTCAACCGAAAAAAGAGACGGCTAAGAGACACAAAGTTTCCGGTTATTGGCTTAAATCTAAACTCAGTTCTATAGTAAATGTGGAGAAGAAAACTGGAAGGACTTCAGCGCGGTGATATACTGAAGTGGTAAGGATTTTTTTGGTCCCGAATTGGAGACAAAGCAAAAAAGTATGAGTGAAAATTTTGAGCCCACTTATATTTCATTAGGTTGCTGTTTTGACAGTCGATGGTGAGGTGTGCGTCTCTTTATTAAAGAATGTGAGGGATTTTAATTCAATTTGAACATTTCTCCCTATAATCTGCAGAGTCTGAGAAAGCTGCATGCTCAGTTCTTTGGCACAACTATCAGATTCGAGAATTTGGTGCAAGCTAGCACTGATGAGTGTCAGTTGCTTATCTCAGAGTGCATCTTGACAGCTCTCTTCTCAAACAGCCTTCTATTTTTTCCTTCGCTTTATCCGTCTTCAAGATGGATGTCTAGTGATTAGATAAGTGCAGAACAAACGCATTCATTTACAAACAATTAATCTACCGTTGCTTCTGCTATAGATTTTTTTTCGTTACAGCTCTTTCATCACTCATTGCTCTGAATTGATTAGAAATGCTGAGTTTAACTTAGCAAGATTTCATTAAATCATCATGAAGATCTTCTACGATATATATGAGAAGTCTTCACTCAACCTCATGGTCTACTGCGCTCAATAGGAATTATACTTTACCGTTTTGTTACGCAAATTCGATCTCTGTTCTCTCAATCGAAAGATTCGGAAGTTTTGAAAAAATTTTCATCTTAGCTATCTGACATCATCTGGGGAGTGCCTCTTGATAATTCGGTCACCTTTTTACTCTGTGCCAACATGGTAAATCGCTCCATGTAGTAATTTTTTCCAGTTCATCCGTTGGAAGTACCAAGTTGCCAAAAAAATGATTTTGTCTTCAAGTGTTCTGAGCCACGCAGGTTCTTAGATGGTC